CCTCCCCCCGGCGGGAAGTATCCTTGTTACATTTTGGTATCTCCTCTTGAAGAACCCCGCATAAATCTCATTAACTTAGATAGAGATTTTCTAAGATGAGGAACAATCCTTACCACAGAGCACTTTGTTGACATCCATCCTCTCACCAAAAAATCAGTGACACTTTCATCTCTATCCAATCATTCCCTGAGTACCTTCGTGCCTTGAACTCCGCTCTCATAGATACCCACTTAACCCAGTCTCCATTAACTCGAGCATCAGTGGAGCTTTGACAGGATCACAGACAATGATCACTATGCAGGAGTTAGATGCCCTCAGCAAGCTATCATGCCTTTTGGAGGTTTCTCAATTCATGAATCTGAACTCTGAACTGACAGTCAACCCCATCTCCTCAGGTAGAACATCCAGGACAAAACTGGTTGGCTGAAAAGAATTGAACCTCATAATTACAAGAGAAGACAAAGCACCTGACAGAGGATTGCTTTCATCGTAAACATCTAGAAGTAAGACGGTAATACAAACCAGATGAAATACCACCTTGATATCAGTAATGAAATACTGAAATGGAAATTAGAAACATAAAAATAAAGGTATATGAACATTTCTAGAAAGGCACATTTTAAGCTGAGAAGCTCAGCAAGCTTCTTCATAGAGATCTGCGAGGACGTGCCTATGAGGGAAAGTGAGCCACATGCGTTAAATGGAAAACAGCCTATTCATTCTATAAATTCAATGGCTTGAAGTGTGCTTATCTTTTCAGTGATGTAAGAATAGAAGTCTTTATGAGAAAAAATCATTTAAAAAAACGTTACGAATCATTAAATAGCAAAATAAAAACGGCTAACAGAAAAGACAGTTAAAGTTGAAAATTACATCTTCTATTATGGCTTATGATAGATAATGCACGGTAGTACCTTGCTAACTTCAGTATTGATTACTATCACATGTAAAGCACATAAAATAAAACCAGGGTGATATCTGCGCAATGAACAAAACTATAGTGTGCAAAAAGAGAGAAAAAAAATAGGTTGTACTTACAAATTTTTTGGCAATTGCTTGAAGATCAATTCTAGGAACAAGCTTAATGGTCACCCTTTTCTTTGAATCATTCACAAATATGACCTATTGAAGTAGAAATAATATATCAGAAATTGCACAGAAAAGCAAGTGAAGATGAAAAATGAAAGGGAGGTTAAAACAAATCAATTTACTGAGTTCCACTACTCTGCTACCTCTGCAAGATCACCCTTGTACTTCCCATTCTTCAGTCGAACCCACATACCCTTGGATATTCCACTTGATTTCTTTTGAATAGAAAGTAAGTTAGGGGTTTCATTCCTTGGGACAAGTTCTATTCTACTTGGGTACAGAAAGCACAACCCGTTGCATGCCTGAAATGAAAAACTATCGCCTTACATGTTGTATACAAAATACAGGTTTAGATAATTTCATGTAACATAAACAGGGCACGATCATATTCATAAAAAAACAGAAGTAAAAGTTTGTTAATGCATATGTAAGTATTAATAATCAAAGATTACAAAAAAGCACAAGGCTAAGCAATTACTGTTAAGTCCTGTACATGGTGAAGATAAAATTTGGAAGACAAAGGGATGACAGTTCTGAATTTCTTCATAAGAAGAAAAATGAATGGAAAACCTTGACAATTGGACAGCTCATATGTAAACAATATTTTTAAATTAAAATACCAATTCATTACTAATGACATACAATAGAAATGTCTAAAAGAGATAAGGTCTCAAAATTAAAAGATTTTGAGATTTCTTCCGACCTCAGAAAAGGAAAATAAGATGTGTCATACCCCTCTCGTATAATTTATTGATAATGAGGACAAACAATAATCCTAATGCATCATATTAAGCAATGTGGCACTATTCTTCTTAACAAGCATGCTTCTTCGTGAGTATAATCTCCTTGAGATCATCATCATAATCACAATCACTATCACTACCCTCGTACTAAAATATGGGGTTCACCTTGTTGAATCCTGAAAATTGCTAAAATGCTAGTATCTTAATTCTTATGCTAATTCCAGTCAATGCCCTATTTTTAACCTTCCAAGTTTCTAAACCTGTTATTAGCATACAGAAAGTACAATGATAGCGTTCATGGATGCCTGAATATTATCAACAGGATACAACAAACTAAAAAGGGAAGAGATTTATAGTTTTTATTCTAAGGAAATGGAAACTCATATAACAAACTGCAATCCAAGGAAAATAAGCCATAAATACTAGCCAAAAGAAAAGGTATGAAACTCTGCTCTAGCAACAAACAATGTGGAGGTTCTTTTTTATTTTGGTAGTTTATGGAGTTAGCAGACAAGATTCATCATATGTACTAAAAAACCAAAGAATTAAAAAAATAGAAAAAAGTTTAAACATCGAAAAAGGGGCTATGTGGAGTTAGCAGACAAGATTCATGATTCGTACTATAATAAAACACAAGGAATAAAAAAATAGACACAAGTTTAAACATAGAAAGGGGGGCAGGAGGGGACGAGCCATTCTTGACAACTTGTCAACACACAAGATTTATCATACGTATTCAAATAAATAACATAGATTCAAAAATGGATACAAGTTCGAACATCAAATAGGAAGCAAACGTAAGAGCATGATCATATGTCAGTCTATAGATTTTATTTTTATGTGTTTCAGCCTTTTGCGCAGGGGCCACGTTAATCTTTTGGGGCATTCACATGCATACCACCAAATTCTTATGAATTTACATATCAAACACCTAAACTTTAATTTACACTTAAACCACCCAAAATTTTCCGATCACACTAAAAATGCCACCATTTTCACTTTTAAAAAGTAAAATACACCATTTCATGCATAAGTATGGTGACAAGTATGTAAAAATTGAAGTTCAGATGTTAGATATGTAAAGCATAAGAATGAATTGAGTGGTATGTATGTAATCTCCCTAATCCTTTCTGTAAATTCAAATTTTATAGGATGTCTCGAAAGAGACAAATACAATCCGCAATCAAAATCGGCATGCTTTTCCACAAAAATTAGGGCAAACATCACACCGAAAACATAACCCCTTGGCTTGCTTGTACTAAATTTGTCTCTGTAAGGTACTTGAGTGTCGCTCCCAGTCATGGCCCTTCTTGTCCCGTGTAGCCTCTATGGACTTCCACTATCTGAGCTTTTGGTATTGTTTGCTTGTAGCAATTTAATGCGACGCTCCGTCCGTATTTTTCCTATTAGCATTCTCCGGTTCTTGTCCTTCACCACCATTGTCTCCCTAAATCCCCACGGTCTCAAAAAGTCGAGTGTTGCCCGTATCTAGGGCTTTAGGCCCTTCATGAAATTTTCCTCCAATCCTGCTCAAAAGTCCCCCTCAACAGTCCCAACAATAGCTCAAATCTCTCCCTATAATCCATGAAGGTCCCCTTCAGATTCAAGACGTTAAATTACTCATATAGGTCTTCTTCCCGAATGACTAAAAAACAATCCTTAAATTCTTCCCACAAACGAATCGGGTATCTAGCATCCTTCCACTGAAACCATGCTAAGGCATTCCCTTACAAAGATAACATTGCCGCCATAAGTTTCTCCACCCCAATTAGCTCATTCAGTGCTAAGTATCGGTTTACATGATATATTCACCCATGTGCGTCTTCCCACTAAAAGATCAGTATCTTCAACTTCCTACCCTAGAATCACCAACCCAATTAGCCCATTCACTTCGTGATGGTGGATGTTTTTCTCCTCATATTCCTCACGTTCGATATCTTTCCCTTTGGATCTGACCACGAATTTTGTGATCAACCTTTGGTTAGGGTCTGCAAATTGAGTCATCGACGGAGTTTTAGATTGCATCTCAATGAGTCTCTTTACATCTTTTTAAGGCTCTCGAATCGGTTTTCTATTCGATTCTCTATGGAAAAAACAACTTCTATAATGATGAAGCTTTCTTCCATCACAAATCCGATTTCGCTCATCTCTTCCACTAATTTATTCTCCAAATCATCTAACTTCTTTGCCGCCATTAATTCCAGAAAACTTTTTGATCTCAAAGGCAAAATTTTGATTCCCTAAAATTCTATCATCTCTTCTTAGCTAGTTCTTATTGCAACTATACTGCAAATCAATATTCCCGAAGGACGTCAATCCTATCATAGGTAGCACCTATCCCGCCTGTATCGCAATATTTGGTCATACAAAGATGGATACTATAGTCGTGATCTCGTCTTAGGCTTCCCAGATAGTTGAATCGCCAAGGCAGTGCTTAATTAAGGCATTGTATGTCGCATTGCCTTCGATGCTTTCGAGCTGGCACTTTTTTTATTGTATTGCACAGATCCTTTACACGGGTTCGATCTCATCGTGGAAAAAGATGGGAGCTTTGGGGTCTCTGCTCGCCGTAATCCAAACAGCCTTCTCAAGAAACTTTAATCACAATTGTATCGTGATATGCAATTAGGAGATCGTAATCCCACATTGAGTCCTCGCTAGCTCTAACCACGTTGTATTGCAAGGCTTCAATTAGGAATGAGTTCGGTCACGAAGGCTTGTATGTCGAGATGTCATGGATGCTTCCCAGCTAGCTCTAATTGCGTCGAGCTAACATTTTATTGCGTTGCAATCCCGTCGCTCACGCCTTGGCGGCATCTCAAGCGATTCAGTTGTTCTTCCATAGTACATGCGTCTCTGTCATGAGTGATTCAATGGTTCTCCCCAAAATTGACAACCTTGATATCAATTTGATACGATGCACCGTCTAAATCGGCGAACTTTTCCACAAAAATTAAGGCAAACACAAATTTTATCTCCTGAACACCAAATCAAAGCAATCCAATACTAATAACTCACACGAATACAAAAAATAATTGTCTACAATTTGAAAAGTTGGTGATCTCTCCCAATTCTCACAATTCGAGCAAACCCTAAACCTACGATACAAAACTCAATCTCATGTATAAATCAAACCCTAAACATGATAAGTCTATTTATACCCAATAACAATAATAATAATAAACTAAATTGCCTTTAGGCATATAAAAGACCAAATCCCTTAGGCTAGGCACCGTCGTAACATGCATATATGTACGTCTATAGACTGCATGCACACTTTTCTGATGTTGACATCTTCATATAAACATATGCTCAAGTTAAAAATATTTTATAAATGCTTATTTTCCAAAAGTTACCTGATGACAACGTACTTATTTTACAGCACTATTGTAATGCCATAATTTGTCCAAAGGATACATATGTGATTTTGTTTTCCGCCTAGAACTGGACCAATCATTCAAAGGCAATCAAACCGGCCCGCAGCAAAAGGAAGCGGGCCGATTCTTTTCACGCGAAGCAGCCAGGCTGCGATTCCTTCATGCGAAGCAACTGAGCAGCAATTCACCGCAGCAGAGGAAAGCCAGGCACAGGTGGGCTCCATGAGGGGCTTAATCACATACTCAATGAGAAGAAATTAAGGGAGTTTGGAGAAAAAATTGGAAAGAAAAATTTTTGAAGGCTGTGAGAGGATTCTACTAAGGGGAATAACCTAGGGTTTGCATGATTCAGGCATATTTTGTTGTGGCTATTGATCTTTCTTTCTTCTTATGGTGTTCCTAGCGATGTCTAGAGTGTGGGAGAGATGATCTACCTCTCGAATAGTAGATCAACATTGTATATTGTTTGTTTTCCTTTGATTTTCGTAAGAGCAGCCTCTGTTTGTGTTTCATCCACCTTTCTATCACCGTTTCGTTGTGGTTTGTTCACTGATTTTGGTGCCGAGGTGTATCAGATTTGCAGACATTACAATGAGTTTAAAACGAAGTACTTTATTTTGAAGCAGTAGAACTTTTAGGTGCAAAAGAGGTTATCATGTTGATCACTAAAAGAAAGTTAATGTCAAAATACTGCATGGCATTCGCATGGTCAAATTGTTATCAAAAGAAACAAAGCAGAATATGACAGTAGCTTTAAAGCTTATTTCAGATAATTGTTTGAAATTTATTTCAAGTAACTGCATTAAAGCTGATAATGATGCCTCCTCCAATGATCATCATACTATGGTACATCAGCTGCTTATTGTGGACCATGAAAAAAAGCAAGCAATAAAATGCTGTCAACAATAAGCAAGCAAAGCATAAAAGATAAGTGATGTCAAATCCCATTTGACATCACTTTTATTTTATGTTTTTCGTTTTATTAAAACACATTTGGTTAATATAATTTTTATATGTATTTAATTTTTGTTTTTAAGAATATATCAACTTACTTTTAAAAATACTCAGAACAAATAAAATATGTTTTGAGTGTTTTTAAAAACAACTACCACAATTAATCATACTTTAAATCAAAACTAAACATAAATAAAAACAAAATAAAAGCAAAATAAAAACAAAAAT